GGTGAGAGAGTCAAGACATTGTACAGCCTTGTAAATAAATAGTATGGCACTAAAGAAATATCAGACTCCATCTTTAGTTTCTCCTCTTAGCCAAAATAACCCACAGGACCCTCACAATTGGCTAACTAGTTTGGTCACAAAAGGCTAACAGTATCATGCAACAGAAGCCTCTTAAAGTACAAGAATAATCAGAAAGGCTACACAAAAATAGTACTTTCCCACTCAACCGATTTGTTTATACACAGACTCCTATCAGTTTACTGTAGCTTTATATTCCCATTAACACAGCAGAGCCAATGTATCTCTGGGAAAGAGAGTTGGATTCCAGCCTGCTTTATGCATCAGCTATACAATTGCTAAGTTCCAGTTGCGGAATCTTTATTACTGATGATAACCGGCAAACCAGAGAGAACACGACTTAATTTTCATAACCCAATTTAAGTTTGCAGAAGTAGAAACTAGGAAAACAACCTTTTTATTTGTAAACCAAGCCAAGTGAGGGAATTTGATCTGGAAGTCCTTGAAGGAATCCTATAACTTTCTAGTGTCTATTGACACTTTAAAAGATGTAGGGGCAGATCTTCAGCTGGTGAAAACTGACACAGCACTAGTGATTTCAATGGAGCTGTGACAATTAACAATAGCTATGACATGAAGTCTGCTTGATGTGAAGTAAACGTTTAGGAATATTTTAAAAGGGGTACTCTCAACTTTATTTTGTTAAAAATTAGTAGCCGTTGATGATAGATTATATGTCCTGATTTTTGTATTCAACTTTTTATAAAAGTTTTTCTAGTCCCTTGCTAGTATTTATCAGCATCTGCTAGGCAAACATTTATGCACAAGTTACTCCAGTGTTTCTAGGATCACAGCCACAGAGAGCAATAAGTCCAAATACGCTTAAGACCACTTCTTCTTCCTTCTTTTCTGTAAACTAACCTCTTCAGTTTCAGCTTTTCTGCCCTGTCAGCTTTTCTGCCTCTGCAAACCATGGATATGAGCTCCAGTCTGAGCAGTGCATAAGGGAGACATCATAATTCTGATTCACAGAAAAATAAGTGCAACTGACAATCAACAGAATAACGAATCTCACCACATGCAAACCTGCTGTTAAAAAGAACACCTTAAAGTGAGACAAGAAACTATTCCCTCCTATACACGATCTTTTCAATGTTAGTGATAGTTACTTTTAACTATACTAGGTATGAATTGTTCAGACAGAAATGTGGTTGTCAGTTTGATAGATTTTTCATTTCTATCTTTTTATTGAAACTTATTTCACTAAAATGTCAGTATCTACAGAAAAGCTGACAGTATACATGGATCATGGCAGTTTGGGTCCAAACATGCTCTATATGAAGAAAGTACTTCATTGTGCTCAAAGAGCAAAAGCTAATGTTTCCTTTTCTAGAATGCTTAATTTATTATGCCCTTACAATGGATTGAGAAAGTAATTGTACATTGCTTTATTTTCTCCTAATATTTAAAAATTCTTTGCAGATGATGTGGAAACCTGCATATGACTTCCTGTACACATGGGGTGCTCACTATGGAGACAGCTATAGAGATGTATTACAAGACCTGCAATCAGCTTTGGACAAAATGAAAAACCCTCTAACCAAGCAGTGGCGAGAGTTAACTGGAACTTTGATTCTAGTGAACTGCATGGAAATCTTAAGGGCAAATGCTTTTTCCAAGAAGGAGGAAGACTAGAAGCTGAAATTCTTTTATGAACTATCTATTGGAAAACTATGGTGTCGATTTTTATACTCTATCATTATTTTTAAGACTGTGATTTTTTGAAATATAACAGATCCTTTAATTTTAGATTTTTTTCTGCACTTACATGTATTACGTGGCACAGACCTTATGGAACACCATTTTCCTGAAGGACTCTTATGTCCTGCAGAATAATATTTAGAGGACCAAGAAGTGGGGAAGTAGCAGTTGGGAAGTGAATTAGGTCCTTGGAAAGATTTTAATTCCATGGACCAATTCCTAAATGAAAAATTCATAAGGCTACAACTATAGATAATGATAAAGCCAAATCTATATTTTGAGATCAGTGAAACCCCACATGTTTTGGGTTGCCCTGACAGTATTCATTCGTTTGCCCAACATTTTCAAAAGTAACAATTTGGACTCTGATCCTGCAAGTTACAACACGTGGTTTAACCATTGCGCCCATGTGGAAGACCCACTGGTGTCAATGGGGTTCCAAGCAAGCACATTGCTGTGCTTTTTCATAATCTGTTGCAGGCTTGGGGTTCTCATTGAAAGTTCTGTGGGGTTTGAGTTAGGGATGTAAAATCCCATTAAAAATGATAACCTGTTAAGCTAGATATGTAACTGGTTCGTGCTGCAGGTGAGGAGCTGTTGGAGCACCCCCACACCCATGGCACAGTATGGTGAGCCCAGCCAGACCAGGCAAAATCCGCAGCACCACACTGTGGGCAGAGGCTACTCCAGGGAGGCCGGGTGCTGGTTAATCAGTTATTGGTAAGCAATGCCAATTTACATCCCTAGTTTGGGCATACAGAAGAAGATACTTCGAGTCTGATTTTCAGGTTCGGTTAGCTCTTGTAACTCCAGTGGAAGTCAGTGAGAGCAGAACTGTCTGGAAAACCAAAGTTCAGTTCTATGAAATTTTTGGTTTTGGGAATTTTTTTCATCCCAAATCAGGATGCCTGAGATCCATCCAGAGTTTCTTGAAATTGAACCCTATCCACAAAACACAGCAAATTTAATGAATAGGCAAATTCTGCCAAAAATGTTTTGTTAATTTTTTTCCTAACTAACTCCAAATAGGAGAGCAGTACCTCTGTAAAGGCCAGAGATGTCTTAAAATGAGCACAGAAAGAAAGGGGTATTCAAGTTAGTGGCCACTTCTGGAAAAAGTTGGCTTACTTATGCAGACATAGCTCTCTACATTTTGCACTACCACATTTGTACACATGATGCACAGTACAAATTTACTAATTCTTCTGCATGCACCTGAAAAGGGGGTGGAATCAGATTTAAAAAAAGGCTGATCCATACAAACAGTGACCACAATGCTGCCCTACAGCATATGATCTTGCATATAAGCCACTGCCTCTTATATAGCTATTTTGAATGGAGAAGAGGGGCTTAGTGGGTAGAGGAAGAATATATATGCCATTATTATTCATAATTCTAATCTGTGCCATAATTGAGGGAAAATGAGAGAGAAAGGCAGCTAGTATTTTGTCTAGAAAGGTACATGCTAGACATATTGTTAACAAAAATAATTAAATTGAGGTTCATTTATGATTTGTTTATACAGAAATTTGTATTTGCCTGATTTCCACTGATTACATGCTCTGAAATAATGCAGCATAAATGCTTTCAGATGAAGTCTTACCAATGACAAGAACCAAGTTGCAGTAACCATGCACCTCCTTATAGATAACACTGGTTTGTGCAACAATCGCAGCCCAATCAAATAATTCCTGGTAAAACAAAGAAGCAAATAAACTTTTGTTAGCTAGAAGGTAGCAGTAAAAATTGAATCAACCTGCAAAATCCTCAAAGAGCAGCTCTGGAAAACCTGAAGGCTCATTTGAATAAACTGGCAAACTTACTACTGGCCAAGTCACTAGTTGCTGGCAATAGTCTGGTTGAACAGCAAACCTGAGGGTTGGCAGTTGGAGAGAGAAAGCCAAGTTCCACTCTTATTTACACTGACTCATGAAAGGTGGCTGGCTTCAGCACAGGTACTTCTGTTTTGCACTGGAGTGAGAAAAGAATTGGGTCTACAGAGTATTAATGCCAACAACATCTTTGGTGATCAAGGGAATGAAGACAAAATAGAATTTGAGCACACAGACTACATAGTGTAGCCTTCTATGTCCCTGAGAAACATTTACATGCTCACAATGCTGGCTTTGTGCAATTGTACAAGGAATTGGGGAGAGACGGTACCACAGAGCTTCCCTACTGCCTTGCACATTTATGCAGGACCCAACGATTGTTCCCTGTTAGCACCACAGGGAAGCAATGAGCCCCCTGAGCAAAGGGGAGGAAGGTACAGAGTCATGGCCCATGTTATCTTTCCCTCTTGCACTGCTGAGGTGTGTGCGAATACACACAGTCCCTTCTTAAAGAGCAGTAGAGTGGCTGCCACACTGTGAACCCCTGAGAAGAATTCTGGTCACATCTCCCAGAATGCTTGCTTAGGTCCCAACTTCAGCATGTTTCTCCTGTACTGCCAAACCTGCTCCTGGCAGATATCATTATGGTGCAGTGGCTGACTGAGCCATGCTCACTGTCTTTCTGGATGATGAGGGTAAATAAGTATTACACTACTCCTTACCCTCCCTAAAAGCAGGCAGACTTGGCTCATCAATGAGTTGCTTACTAATCATTTCTTGCCTTTCACGGTGCCTTCCCATACTACATCTATACTGCACAATTATTTTGGAATAAGCTATTCTGGAAGAAATACTCTGAGATAGCTTATTTTGAAATAACATGTCTACGCTACAGAGAAGCCTGGAAATTAGTCCAAGGCAGACTCCCTTAATGTGGATGCTCTACCTTGATTTAGAACCCTAGGAAACAATGGGGAGTCATTACTTTGAATGGCTTGGGGGATGAACTATTTCAAAATAGCAGCAGTGGAGCGGTCACACTCCTGCTTTTCTGAAATGGCTATTTTGGAAGAGGCGTTAATCCTCATGGAATGAGGTTTGCAAACACAAAATAAGCTGCCAGTCATTTCAAAATTATTTGGAAATAACAGGTTAGCTGTATAGATACTCACATAGGGTATGTCTACACTACCACCCTAGTTCGAACTAGGGTGGTAGTGTAGACATACCCATTTGCAAATGAAGCCCGGGATTTGAATTTCCCGGGCTTCATTTGCATAAAGCCGGGCGCTGCCATTTTTAAATGTCCGGTAGTGCGGACTCCGTGCCACGCGGCTACACGTGGCACGGACTAGGTGGTTCGGACTAGGCTTCCTAGTCCAAACTACTGTTACTCCTCGTGAAACTAGGAAGCCTAGTCTGAACTACCTAGTCCGTGCCGCGTGTAGCGGCACAGCACGGAGTCCGCACTAGCGGACATTTAAAAATGGCGGCGCCCGGCTTTATGCAAATGAAGCCCGGGAAATTCAAATCCCGGGCTTCATTTGCAACTCTGGTTGCCTACATTACCACCCTAGTTTGAACTAGGATGGTAGTGTAGATATACCCATGCTTATTTTAGAATAACAGCCATTATTCCAAAATAACGCTTCTGTGTGGATATGCCCTTAGAGGTGGACTATGTCACCTGTCCAAGCTCTGTTCAGCTTCACTGCTCTTCCCCCGTAGCATTCACCCTGAAAGGCCTTTTACACCTGCTTCTGCTGTGCTGCACATAGCTCCAACTCCAGTGCCAGCTTTTGCTTTTTTTTTTCTTACCACTAATGCCAATGGTGCTGCTTTTTCCTCAGCATTAATAATAATGAAAAAGGAAAACATAAGAGTTGCTTACTAACTAGAGAGAGAAAAATGCAGCCAGGAACTGACCAGTTACAAAATGACAACTTTAGGGTTCTGTCACATTTAAAAGGCCTAAACAGAAGAGAGGCATGTCGGGGAAAAAATTCCTGTGGTAGGGCATCCCTGCACTACAAAGATATTCACAAGACCAGGGAATGATTAAAGGACATGGCTTATTTTGATGATATTCCTACTGTATTGTTTTACCCTCTCCTCTGACGTTAGCCCAGCCCAGCAATGAAGTGGGACACTCTTGAACTAACGTTGAATTTGGCCCAAATGACACAGCAAAATATTGATTTATTGAGTCAGTGAACTCCTCACTTTGTGGTATTATGGGATTTGTCCTTGAAGTTTGTTTATATCCTCTCCAATTAGATTGTGCTCTAGGGCCTGCAGCTGTGACCTTTATTTGCTAATTCCAATTTCATTTCTGCTTTGTGTTTCTCCTCATATGAACAAAGTGTGGACTTATGCAATACTTCTGTTTACTTTAGCAGCCTACGCCCAGTGTAAAATAATAGGTATTAAACTCCACATTTTATTGCTTAAATATTTTAAACCACAAAATGCCAATTCTAGGTTACTACTGAAAGTGGAAACAGCCACTTTTGGTAAGAATATCTGGTGGTAAGATTATGGATGAGTTGTAATACAGTGGCCCTTCATAGGACAGACATGTCCCACACCACAATGGACTAAGGAAGGCTCTGCCCAGATCACTCACACAAGAGCAGGTTTCCTCCTGAACCTCAGAGTCATTTCCCTTAGTCAAGTGCTGAGGGCTTTCTGCCCCACAGTATTTAAAAGGCCTATGCAGCAGGACAGAAATCCAACAGCTACATGGTAAGGGGGTCAGAAGGCAAATTATTCACTCTCAGAAGGAGTTTTCCTTCAGCTGGGTGGGAAGTGGGGAGGCCTCCTTGATGGTTCCTCAGGAAGCAGACGATTAGGGAAGGGGAATCAGAGCTGACCTTCCATCATTATCATCATCATCGTCCTTCACACCCACTGGTGTATAGGGAAGCAACAAAGATCCTCCACTTCTGTCTGTCTCTGGCCAGCCTCTCAATGGGTACATCTAGACTACATGGCTCCGTTGATGGAGCCATGTAAAATAATTTACTCGGCATAGTCAAAGAAGTGGGGATTTAAATAATACCCGCTTCATTAAAATAAAAATGACCGCCGCGCTGTGCTGACGATCAGCTGATCCGGCACAGCGCAGCAGTCTAGATGCGGCTTGGTCGACAAGGGAAGCCATTGTCAACTGCTTCGGTATGCCTTGTGAAACAAGGTTTACTGGAGTGGTCAACAAAGGCTTCCCTTGTCAACCGTGCCACATCTAGACTGCTGCGCTGTGCCGGATCAGCTGATCGTCAGCACAGCGCGGCGGTCATTTTTATTTTAATGAAGCGGGGATTATTTAAATCCCCGCTTCTTTGACTATGCCGAGTAAACTATTTTACATGGCTCCGTCGACGGTCCCATGTAATCTAGATGTACCCAAGAGTGCCCCAAGTGTAATTCATGCTCTTTATTTCTACTTCAGTGGTCCGGCGCCATGTTGTCTTGGGTCATCCTCATTTCTGCTTCTCTTCATGTCCAGTGCACAGCAATCTTTGTGATGGAGCTTCCATCTTTCCTGAGCACGTGCCCCATCCATCTCCAGCATCTTTTCATAATGATGGGTAGCCATGTCATCTTGTTTGCACCATGCAAGTAGGTCCTGATTTGAAATTATTCTTGGCCAAAAAATACGGAGGATCCTCCAAAGACTTCTGGTGTGAAAAGTCGACAATTTATCGAGATCGTAGATGCTCCACTGCTGCTCTTTCAAAATAGCCCCTCACCAGGGCCATTCTAAGTTATTCCTCCCCGGTGCCTTCTGGGGCTCTAAATTGAGATAGCGTATCCACATTAGGGAAGACTGCCTCCGACTAATTTTGAGGCGTCTCAGCAGTATAGATGTGCTATTTCAAAATAAGATATTCCAGAGTAACTATTCAGGATTAGCTTATTTTGAAATAAGTGTGCAGGGTAGATGTAACCAGAGATGCTCATTCTCGGCCTGTTTTCCTCCTCCTATGCTACTTTAACTCCTATTAACTTCAACACAGTTCCTCATGATTTTCATGGCATAACTGAGAAGAGAATCAAACTATTTGAGTCTCTGAAGAAGTTTCACAATAATTTTAGCCAATGCTAATCAGATGTGCGTAATGATAAACATTTTTTCTAATACAACAAGTAATCCTGTGGCACCTCAGAGACTAACAAATATATAGGATCTTGAGCCTTTGTGGGTAAAAACCCACTAGATTTTTTTCTAATAGTTCACCAAAGTTTACTTGCTGTCAGTACAGGTCCGAAATAGGCCCCAATAATAGGAATAACGTCCTTCTGGTATTATTCTTAATATAGAAAAAATTGTGATTTTGTATTTGTTAACCATCTCTTTTTTTATCTGAGTTTTTTTAAATACAGTAAATATTTTTAAACTTAATAAATGAGGAAAACTAACTGTGTGTACTTGCATCTTTGCATTAGATCTACAGGAGGTTAAAAGAGGTCACAGATTGAGACACTGCAGACTTTTGTAGTAATAGAGAAAATACAGTAATACTTCATTCATTAAAAAAAGGACACACTGCACTTTCACCTCTGTTGGTGAAACTTACTAATGGTTTTGCTGCTAGGTTAACAGCTACAAACTGTACCACTCACCGTAAGTAAAAATACTACTTCATAAAACAATAGAATAAATGTATTATTGTAGACAGGACTCTGTGTATACCATGTAATATGCTGAAGAATCCACCAGTTACCATACAATTGTGCTCTAGCTTCTCAGATTTTATTAAAGAATATATGTTGCTGGTCCACCTGCTTTTGAAGATAACTGTACAAATGTGATTCAAGTGTAAACCAAAGCCGTGTTATTTTTCGGAGCCTTCAAGAATCATGATGCAATAGTTCTGTGTGATTTGAATGGCCCTATGCATCACTGGCTGAACCTTGAAACTTGAGGATGACAATTTAAAATGTCAGTATTTGACCAAACTTAAAAAACAACAAATAGTCTAGCAGCACCTTAAAGACTAACAAAAAATATAGATGGTATCATGAGCTTTCATGGTACACCATCTACATGTTTTGTTAGTTTTAAGGTGCTGCTAGACTATTTGTTGTTTTTCAAGTTTTTCCACTTTGGCTGTGTCTAAACTACATCCCTTTTTTCGATAAAGGAATATAGATTAGGCACGTCGATATTGCAAATTAAGCCTGGATTTAAATATCCTGTGCTTAATTTGCATAATGGCGGCTGCCGCTTTTTTTCAAAACGGGACTTTTTTGGAAAAAACAGCACTTTAAATGGGGCATTTTCGACAGAAATCCCCCATTTCAAAAGATCCTGTACTCCTCAAAAAATGAGGAGTACAAGATCTTTCCAAATGGGGGATTTCTGTAAAAAATGCCCCGTCTAACTGCTGTTTTGTTTTGAAAAAGCCCCGTTTTGGAAAAAAGCGGCAGCCGCCATTATGTAAATGAAGCATGGGATATTTAAATCACGGCTTCATTTGCAATATCAACGTGCCTAATCTACATCCCTTTATCAAAAAAGGGATGCAGTTTAGACACAGCCTTACAGACTAACTCGGCTACCCCTTTGAAGACCAGTTTATTGTTGTTCGTTGTACCAGACATAGAAAGGAAGTTTTTTCTATACATCAGTCCTAAATGGCAGCAAAGTATTTAAATTAACAAATAACACAGGAGCTACTGTGCTGTGTATTTATATCTTAAATTAATTTTAAAACCTTAATTTTTAAATTTTAAACCAACTAAACAGTGTGGCACAAGCCCATTTCTACACAGGGTGGACATATGGTGAACTTAGGATAACATTAAAAGATGAAATATGAAATACATCCAGTTGCATCACATCATTTTGAACATTATTTATGGTCCCCCCCAATTTGCTGTTCTCCAGGGAAGAGAGCTAAGCTGGTGAGATAAATCTGGAAGGAAATATCACATCAGAAAGCCTAGTTTTTAAATAGCTCTGGTAATGAACTGTGATGTTTAGGTGTGATTGTGGTTGTTGGGCTTAGTGGGTGGGTGCTGGGTGTTGGTGACCTCAAGATACAGGAAGTCAGAATAGATGATCTGCTGGACCACTCCCCCCCAGCCATAAATGCCATGACTTGATGATTCTAGGAGT